ACCAGGGTGATGCCAGAAATGGAGTGTTTGAGTTATAAGGAGGGGCTGTATCGGCTGGAACATTTTCCCTTGGAGCGTAGGAGGCTGAGGGGTAACCTTTTTGTAGAGGTTTATAAAATCATGAGGAGCAAAGAGAAGGTGAATAGCAAAGCTCTTTTCCCCCAGGGCTGTGGATTTCAAGATAGGAGGCATACTTTTAAGGTAAGAAGAGAAATATTTTAAAGAAGTGAGGGGTAACTCTAACAGCTCAGTGTGGTTTGTGTGTGGAATGAACTGTCCGAGAAAGTGGTGGATACAGATATAAATACAATGTTTAAAACACATTTTAAATTTATCAATAAGAAATGTTTGGAGGGGTATGGGCCAAGTGCAGGCACACGGTACTAGTTCAGTTGGCATGGATTGATTGGACTGGGGGATCTGTTTCCATGCTATGTGACTATGTCTCGTGCACTCTCTCGCTCTCTCGCTCTCTCGCTCTCTCGCTCGGAGAAGTTTAGCAAGTTTTTCCAGGGTTCTGATCCGTCACCTTCGAAAGTTGTACAGAATCCAAATTATTACCGAGCGAAAGCTGACCCATAGTGCATGCACCAGCTCAATTACTGAGTGCCAATGTCCCTGCACACCACTTTTATCCACAAAAATCCGATGCTTTCTCCAATGCCTCTGTTAAACCTGCCTCCATCACATGTTCCAGACAGTGAGCTCCACACTCTAACTAATGGAATGAGCTGCCAGACGAAGTGGTGAAGGCTGGTACAATTAGTGTTTAAAAGACACCTGGCTGGGTATATGAGTAGGAAGGGTTTAGAGGGATATGGGCCAAATGCTGGCAAATGGGACTAGATTAATTTAGGCTATCTGGTCAGTGTGGACAAGTTGGACTGAAGGGTCTGTTTCCATGCTGTATATCTGTATGACTGTACTCACTGTGTGAAAAGGGTTTTTTTTTCCCCTCCCATCACCCTTGCTTCGTTTGCACATCAGTTTAAATCTCTGCCGTCTCGTTCCTGTTTCTTTTACTTGTGGAAACAGCTCCACCCTATCTACTGTAGCCAGCCCGCTCGTGATTTTGAAGGCGAGCCAATTTGGCGTCCTCTCCTTCACTGTTGCCTGCACAACGATTTTAAGGCTTGCAAAATAGTGACTGATCATGTCTGTCCACTAATAATGTATTTCAGCCGAGTCTCATTGGATCGCTCAGCAAGGAGCCAGCATTGTCTTTATAGGGCCGAATGACATCCCTGTATGCTGTCTGTGAAGTGCTTTGGGCTGGAGAGATTGAATGAAGCATCGTGTAAATTTGTTGATTTGGTTATGTAAAGCCAGGTCTGGATGATTTGAAGTGATTGATTTTAGTAGGAAGTGCTGGCTTAACAGCAACGTGCTTGGGTCTACACCCCAAGAACTGCTGTGTTTCAAGAAGGCAAAGCACCACCATCACCCCCTTGAGGGTAATTAGGGACAGCCAATAGGTACTGGCTCAGTCAGCGACACCCACATCCCACGAAAGAATTAGTAAAGAGTAGAATTCCAAAGGAGAGGAGAGCAGGAGTAGAGGGACAAAAACAGAAAGTTGCTGGAAAAGCTCAGCAGGTCTGGCAGCATCTGTGAAGAAAACAACAAAATCACAGTTAACGTTTCGGTTCCGGTGGCCCTTCCTCGGAACCAGACCCGAAACATTAGACTCAGTAGGAACTGCAGATGCTGGAGAATCCGAGACAACAAAGTGCAGGGCTGGATGAACACAGCAGGCCAAGCAGCATCATAGGAGCAGAGAGGCTGACGTTTCGGGCCTAGACCCTTCATCAGAAAACTCTGATTTTTGTTTTTTTGTTTTTTCTTCACGGATGCTGCCAGACCTGCTGAGCTTTTCCAGCAACTTCTGTTTTTGTTTCTGATTTACAGCATCGGCAGTTCTTTCTGGTTTTTGTTTGGTGGCAGAGACTGTGAAAGACACTACATTGGACAAACAGGAAGGAAATTACCAACAAGGGTATACGAACGTCAATTGGCTACAAAAAGACCCGACCAATACTTGCTCATCTCTATCCATGTGGATAAGGAGAACCACCAATTCGACTGGGACAAGCAAAGCAAAGACAAACACGGGAATTCCTAGAAGCCTGGTACTCCACGAAGAAAGCTATCAACAAACACATAGAGCTCGACCCCATATACACTCCACTGCAAAGGAAAACCGGAAGTGAGGTAATCCAACTCAGTGGACTCCAGATTTCAAATAACAGGTGGGAAAACACAACTGTGCTTGATCGGAGGCTACACTGATGATGATGACCCAGCAGGCTAATGAAACGTCTGCGGAAAAACAACGAACCAGCTCAGCGATCCAACCAACCACAAAATGTTGTGCTTGCCAGTGATGCCCACATTCCCATTTTAAGAATAAAGAATAAAACCTGGAGTATTGGCCTTCCTCCTTGAAAGAAGGATGTAAAATTGGTGGAGCAATCTAGAGAAGGTTTATTAGACTAATACCTGGAAATGGGAGTGTTATCTTATGAAAGAATGTTGCTAGGGAAGCCTTGTATCTGCTCTAGCTTAAAGGAGTAAGAGATTACTTAAATGAAACGTAAGACCTGAGGGACCTCTTGTCAGTGTGGATGCAGAGAGGATATCTTCTGTTCTGAGAGAATTTGGAACTAGGGGGTTTCTCATTTAAAACCAAGAGGCAAATTTTTTTTCTTGACCTTTTTTTTTTTTTTTTTCAGTCTTTCAAACTGTTTTACCAGAAAGGCAGTGGAAACATTGTGTGAATCGAGAAGGCACATATAGAGGGTCATCCTTGGGAAGTCGAGGAATTTCTGAGAACATCCAGTCCTAACACTGAGTCTTGCTGAACACGTCTCATAATAGTCGCACCTTGCAGCATAATGTGTAAACTGGGATTTAAGCAGCCTGCCAACTTCATAATCATTAAAACAAAACTTCACTGATCCCGAAATAACTCATTCTATATTTCTGGAATCTTAGGTTTCTCCATTCTGATGTTAAACAGAAAAGCTCACATACCTATAGGCCCTTCTAAAAGTTAGCTGTCCTTTTTTAATTTTAAAATAAAACAATTCATTTTATAATTAGATTGCAAGTGAAGGGTGTGATGTTCTGAACTCCTGCCCGCGTGAATGCTTAAAGGGATTGGCTCCTTCTCAAATGGCATCACTGTTGCTGCACGCCAAGAGATCCTCTTGACCTGGTGCTTGATTTAAACTTTGTAAACTATATCCGAGAGATCACAAGATCGTTGCAGGCAGCTTTCTCTGAGATCAGAGTAAACCTCCTTCCTTCTCTTCTAACTGTAAAATCCAGGTTTTGTTGCTTGAGACTTGCGAGAGAGTCTGGAATTAGAGGGTGCAATCTCAGAATAAGGGGCTGACCATTTAAGAGATGAGAAGATTTCTTTTTTCCCCTGAGAGTCATGAATCTGTGGAATTCTTTACCTTTTTAAAGGGCTGTCGAGGCGATATATTCAATGCTGCGCTAGACAGCTTGTTAATCAGTCAGGAAATCCACGGTCAAAAACAGAAGTAGCTGGTAAAGCTCAGTAGGTCTGGCAGCATCTGTGAAGAGAAAAAATACGAGTTAACGGAAGGGTCACCAAATCCGAAATGTTAACTCTGATTTTTCTTCACAGATGCTGCCAGACCTGCTGAGCTTTACCAGCAACTTCGGTTTTTGTTCCTGATTTACAGCATCTGCAGTTCTTTTGGTTTTTATTAGGAATTCTAGGGTGATGGGCTAAGGCAGGAAAGTGCTGTCGAGGATTATCAGATCAATCATGATTTGACAGACTCTATGGGCTAAATGACCTACTTCTGCTTCTGTCTTATGACATGTGGGATTATTAGCAAATGCACATCTTTCTTTCTTTCTTTTGTCACCATCCAAAATTTTGATGTTACACAGCTCAGACTGAAAATGAGCAAGATGAGAGTGAGAGGGCGATCAGGTGTAATTATCTCACCGATTGCAAACATGGGAATGAGTGGCAGGCATATTCTGCGTTTTTGGGGATGTTCTGCCATTCATTGGGATCATTGGACTGAGTGTCAGATCACACTAACCCACCTCGGCTCTATTTCCTTTCATGTGGAAACTATCAAATATCTATTGATCCCAAATTGGAGACCTGCAGTTGACCCTCAACTAGTTGAGAACAAAAGAGTTGCTGATTTGCAATAATGTTTTTGTGGCAAAGGTGTTTCTTGATTTCTTTCCCCACCTTCCAAAACAAATGGCCTGGCTATACTTATTCTATTTCATATTGTTCCATCAGAGAAAATTGACATCTACAGTGTTAATGGGGAGTGGATAAATACAGAAGAGGTGATGGCCGAGTGGTATTATTAAGGGACTGTTAACTCGGAGACCTAGGTAGATTCTGGGGACCCAAGTTCAAATCCTGCCACGGCAGATGGAATTTGAATTCAATAAAAATCAGGAAATAGAGTCTCATGATGATTGTTGGGGCAAAACCCATTTGGTTCGCTAATGCCCATTTGGGGAAGGAAATCTGCTGTCCTTACCTGGTCTGGCCTCTGACTTTTTTTGGTTTGATGTTCTGGGGATATGGGTTCAAAGCCCAGCATGGCAGATGGTGGATTTTGAATTCAATAAAACAAAATTGTAATGAACTAGCCAAATATTAGCCATATTCTTACCATGTTTGTTGAATAAACCCATTTGGTTCACTAAGGTGGTAAGACGTAAATCTGCTGTCCTTATCTGGTCTACGTGTGACTCCAGACCCACTGCAATGTGGTTGACTCTTATCTGTCCTCTGGGCAATTAGTGATGGGCAATAAATGCTGGCCTGGCCTGTAGCACCCACAACCTGTGATTTAAATTTTTAAAAAATTGTTTCTGGGAAGTGTAGGGACTAGGAGTCAAGAAGTTTGTGGGATAGATCAGGCTAAGAATGGGCTGGTTTGTTTTTTTTTGTTTGTTCTGAAATTCTTCCTGTTTCTCTGTCATTCCAGGTTGGTTTCTTGAAGATCAGTCACAGATATGAAATCACGTTTTTGCTGCCAGTCTCCCAGAACCTGCGGCAAGAGACCCGCTCTGTCCCCCTGGCTAACCTTTATCTGAAGCTGATAGACATTGCTCCAGTAGCAGAAGGTGAGAGCCCTTTCCAAGTCATTGGGAAATGGGAGGGATTTGCAAAAGGACTCTGGGCAACATGAGGGAAAGCTTCTGCATTGTATGGTTATTACTTGTTTGTAAAATCTCTGGTGGAAACCCAGATTAATAGTAGTTTACAGAAGGTAATTGGATACCTACTTCAGAGGCAACCTTGTCAGATTAATCAACAACACCAAATTGCTGTTTCCTGTTAGTGGGACTGTGCTGTGCGGAAAACAGATAAGATATTTGTACCAAGCAGCACATTTGGATTCCAAAAGTGCTAGTCATGCTTGCTTTCATTTGGTCAGAAACATTGGGTATAGGAGTTGGGATGACATGTTTGCGGCTGTACAGGACTTTGGTGAGGTCACTTCTAGAATATTGCATACAATTCTGGTCACCCTTCTATCGAAAAGATGTTATTAAACTTGAGAGGGTGCAAAAAAGATTCGCAAGGATGTTGCCAGGACTGGAGGGTTTGAGCTATAGGAGAGGCTGATTAGGCTGGGGCTTTTTTCCCCTGGAGCTTTGGAAGTTGAGAGGTGACCTTTTATATACTTTTATAAAATCATGAGGGCTGTAGATAGGGTGAAGGTCTTTTTCCTGGGTGGGTGAGTCCAAAACTAGAGGGCATAGAGGAGAAAGATCTAAGGGGCAACTTTTTCACACAGAGGGCGACACAGTGGTTCAGTGGTTAGCACTGCTGCCTCACAGTGCCAGGGACCCAGGTTCGATTCCACCCTCGGGCGACTATCTGTGTGGAGTTTGCATGTTCTCCCCGTACCTGCGTGGGTTTCCTCTGGGTGCTCCGGTTTCCTCCCACAGTCCAAACATGTGCAAGGTAGGTGGATTGGCTATGCTAAATTGCCTGTAGTGTTCAGGGATGTGTAGATTAGGTTGGTTTATAGGGGATGGGTCTGGGTGGGATGCTGTGGGTTGGTTTGGACTTGTTGGGCCAAAGGGCCTGTTTCCACACGAGGGATTCTGAGGGTGGTGCGTGTATGGAATGAGCTGCTAGAGAAAGTGGTGGAGGCTGGTACAATTACCAAATTTAAAAGGCCAAATGCTGGCAAATGGGACTTCGTCAGTTTGGAATGTTTGGTTGGCGTAGACAAGTGAATCAGAGTCTGTTTCCATACTGTACAACTCAGTGATTCATTGTGAAATTGTTTGGGACCATCACAAGTTCATGATCAGTGGTAAGGCATTGAAAACAAGAGCAAGGAGCTTATGGTGTAGCTGTATATAATGTTAATTCGGTAGCAACAGGAGTACTGTGTGCTGGTCTCTTCTCTATAGGAAGGATGTGATTGTACTGGAGGGGGGAGCAGAGCTGACTCACCAGGATGTTGCCTGGGCTGGAGTAAGTCAGTTATGAAGAGAGATTTGATAGTCTGAAATTATTTTTCCTCAAGCGGAAAAGGCTGAGGGAGAATCTCATTAAAGGGCACTAAGGTGTGAACATATGAACGTAAGGAACAATGTAGGCCACTCAGCCCTTCGAGCCTGGCCCATCATTCAGTAAGATCATGGCTGGACCTGATTTTTAACCTCAACTCGACATTCCTGTATATCCCTGATTTAATTTTGGTTGTCAAGAGTCTAAATTCTGAGGGGTATAGACAGGGTAAATCGGGAGAAACTTCTCTCCTTAGAGCGGTCAGTAATAATGGGAGCTATGTTTTTAAGGAAAGGTACAAAAGATTTGGAAGGAATTTGAGGAAAGAAAAATTTGGCCAGTGGATATCTGGAACTCACTTGGAGACTACAGTCCAAGGATGGAAAGTAGGATTAGAGTAGAGGTGTTTGACTAGTGTAGACAGAGTGGGCTGAAAGGCCTCGTTTTTGTGCTGTAAAGTCCTCCACTCTTCAGAAGAAGCTGGAGAGGAATTGACAAGGTGGATACTTAATAGATGTCGCTACTGGTTAGCGAGACTAGAACTAGGGGACACTGTTCAACAATAAGACCGATAAGAAAACTAATTTTCCCTAAGGTCCGTGGAACTTTCTACCCAGACAGCAATGGAGACGGGATCGTTGAATGTTCTTTAATGCAGATGTTGATTGTTCCTTGACTTACAAAGGAGTCAGAATATCGTGGATGGTTAAGAACGTGTTCAGGCCACTATTAGATCAGCCACGATCTTACTGAATGTTGGAGCAGGTTATCTCCAGCCCCTAAACACACACTCATTCTTATCTGCACTGTGCTACTTATTCTGTGATTCGACTTAAACTGCTGGCAATGGATGCCAGTTTAGTTCTTGGTCCCGGCCACAGAGCTTCTGCCTGGCTTTTGAAAACACAGCCTGCATAGTTTTATGGGTCCACCTCAGGGCTGAGGTTTTAACGTTTCATCTGACTAAGGCTTGAGGACTGGGGTTTTAATGTCTCTACTTCCTCCTGGAGGCTGAGGAAATTTGGCATGTCCACAAAGACTCTTACCAATTTTTATAGGTCGCTTTCTACGCTGCAGCTATCTGGATGCGTGGTGTGGCGACAGCTCTTCCCATGACCGCAAGAAATTAGTCGTGAACACAACCCAGTCCGTCACGCAAACCAGCCTTCCATCCATTGACTCCACCTGTTGGATACTTTTTTTTGCTTCTTAGAATAAGCAGTCATCAATAGGTAAAAATTTGAGGATGTTTATTAAGGAGCAGTGACAGTTACATTCTGATTGCCAAGAATAAACATGTAACTGCGTCGACTCTAGGTTCGGCTTACGTTTTTAAAACACTGATATCTAATTTTGTATTTCGTCTTCAAGCCTTAGCAACACAATAAGCCAATTACAACATGATATTCCATGAGTAAGTCACTTGACTTGACTTGAACCTTTGACATCAGTCAGGTTTGGTTTGTGGTAGTTGTGTACTTGCTTAGATAAGCTGTTCAACACTGTTTGTGACATAATCGTATTAGCAGCAGAAACAAATTGAACTGTTATGTGATATTAACTCCATCAGATAAGCTATTTTCTTGTATCCCCACATCTATACTTCCCACTGCCTCGGAAGCAACCAACGTAATCAAAGACCCCTCCCACCCCAGTTATACTCTCTTCAACCCTCTTCTGTTGGGCAGAAGATATAAACTTTTCTACACCAGTACGAATAGATTCATGAACAACTTCTTCCCCGCTGTTATCAGACTTTTGAACGGATCTCTCAAATGTTAATTCTGATCTTTTTCTCTGCAGCTGTACCACTGTATTCTGCATTCTGTTCTACTACTCTAATGCACTTTGTATAGTACGATCTGCCTGTTATGCATGCAAAACCATACTTTTCACTATCTTTTGTGCATGTAACAACAATAAATTGATCGATCAATTGATGTTTGTGAGCCCACAGTGTCAGGAAGGGAGTTAGGAGTAGAAATGGTGCTGCAATAAGCTCAGCCTCCCCAGATCACCCGCATCCTCAGTGATCCTGAACTTGCGATTTAATCCACTGGAGATCCAGCAGCCTGCAGTCCTGGTACGGACACACAGCCACAGAGACACACACACCGCCACAGAGAGAGAGACACACACGCTTCACACGCACACGCAGAAGCTTATGTTCAGTTTGTGTTTGCAGCTTGTCTGATTTACGATATATAATTCAGGCTTCAGCCTTGTTCCACTGGCATGGTAATGGCCCAAAGCTGTTTTGTATGAGACCCATGGGAGATTGGAGATTTCATTCCACTGACTCTACTCCATTTGGGGGTTTTACTTGTGCATCCACTATTCTCGGGATTTAGCCAAGTTGGTCCCTATTGCTCTTTTAAACAAGGCTGCCTTTGTATTTGGTCTGATGATCGCTGCGTTTGCCACATGTCTGAAACACGCAGGATTAGAATTCGCCATTTTATATTTGCTAAAACCTCATAAATCGTACCCGAGATTTTATTCTCTCTCTCTCGCGCTCTCTCTCTCTCTCTCTCTCTCTCTCTCGCTCTCTCTCTCTCTCTCTCTCTCTCAAAAATGCACAGCAGTTATTCTGCTATGCCTCCAGCCCGAACGTGATAGGTTCGGAATTAATTAAAAATAAAGCCACATTGAGGCAGCTTCCAATAAGTCAAGCAATGTATTGGGCAGCAAGTGAAGTCTCTGGAGGTGACCTTGATTCGACACTGCACTGCAGTTAGAGAATTATTTCACAGACTGATTCCTGTACCGGGCACTGGGATAAATCATAATGTCCTCTGGGGCCCTGAGGTTACATTCTGAGGGCAGCTGGCAACAAATTGTGGCTCGAACTCCCTCAAGTGTCCAACAGGCATTCCAAGCGAGGTGTTTAAAACTCGATAAATGATTTGATCAGGTTGACACGGAGACAGTATTTCCTCTGGGAGGGATCAGGAACAAGGGGATGTCCCCATCCTATTGGAGCCAGGCTGTTTGGGATTTACACCAAAAAATGCACTGCCATGTTTCCAGAAACCTCCCTCAATTCCAAGGTAGAGATTAGCAGATTTTTAGTTTAAAGCATAAGGAGTAACAGTAGGCAAAGGTAGTTGAAGTTTTCATTTAAATTATTAGCTCGTTGAGGCCTGGTGGTATTATCACTAGACTATTAATCCAGAGACCCAGGTAATGTTCTGGGGACCCGGGTTCAAATCCCGCCACAGCAGCTGGTGGAATTTGAAGTCATTAAAAATCTGGCATTAAGAGTCTATTGATGACCATGAATCCAGTGTCGATTGTCAGAAAAACCCATCTGGTTGACTCATTCCCTTTTTAGGGAAGGAAACTGCCATCCTTACCTGGTCTGGCCTACATGCAACTCCAGACTCTCAGCAATGTTGTTGACTCTCGACTGCCCTCTAGGCAATTAGGGATGGCTAATAAATACTGACCTGGCTGTGATATCCACGTCCTGTGACTGAAGCAAAAAAAGACCGGTGTCACTGGCTGGCCAACACTTTATTCCCCAGTGGTAGTGGCTGTAGTTTTCTGAAGGGTCTAGCCCGAAACGTCAGCCTTCCTGCTCCTCTGATGCTGC